AAGGACGGAGGAAACGGAGGAAGGTGGGGAGAAGCAGGGGAAGGGAGCGAGGGAGGAGAGAGGGTGGCGAGCCGAGAGGCGCAGAGCAAAGAAACGCGAGGAAAAAAGCCGGGGGGAAAGGCAAGAGCCAGGAAATCGTAGCGAGGTGGGGCGGGGACGAAGGAAAAGGGGCGGGGCGGGGCGGGGCGGGGGAAAATACAAATTAAAATTAAATGATCAAAAGAACGGAAGCGCCGCGGCTCGGCCAGCGCCCGAGGGTCCTGGGTACCGTGCCCCCAGCCGGGCTGCCTGTTTGTCAGTCCCTCGGGTATCGCGCTCCGCTGGGCAGCGCCCTCGCCGCTCTCCGCCGGGCAGCTCTAGTAAGGCTGCGGGCTGCAGCAGCTCGGAGCAGGGAAGGAGGGGAGAGGAAACAGGGAGCGAACGGGAGGAGGGGAAGAGTGAGAGCGAGGGGAGGGAGGGAGGGGAGAGGAGAAAGAGTGCGTGTCTATTTCTGGCTCGGGGGGCGGGGGGTATCTTCGAGCGGAGTTCCAGGGGCGCCAGAGTGGGGAGCAGGGGCGGTGGCGGGGGATGGGGAGGAGAGAAAGGATCCCACCAATTTTACTTGCGGCTAATAGTTGGAGAGGTGGGGCAGGTTTTCCGAGTGTAAGGTGGTCTCCTGCTGCGTAGAGAAGGGTCTGTAGAGGAGGTGTGGGGGGTGCAGGTAAACGGAAGTGAGAGGGCAGCTCTGGATACAAGGGGTAAGAGTGGGTTCTTCGGGTCTGGAGAGAGGTATAGTGAGAAGGATGGGGACGTATTATACCCACTTCTCCCCAGGAAACACCAACCCCACCACCCTTCAGTCTCTGAGGCACTAGGCTCCTCTCCTGTGGCCCAGAGGTAGGGGGTGGCAGGACCTGGTGGCTCTAGGAGAGGAGAGGGGCCCAAGGCTGACTGGGGAGGCTGAGGGAGCACGGGATTAAGTCTTGGGATCAGAAGGCCAAGCCTCTGGTTTAATTGACTGCATGACCTTGTCAAAGTCATTTAAGCCCGCTGGATCTCTGTCTTCTCTTAGAGTGGTTCTAATCCGGCTTCACATAGGTCAAGGGGCTTTTGGACTGCAGCGTGTGTCAAACCAAGGGAGCCAGGAGTGAGTTTCACAGCTGCTTTGCTTACCGGTGTTAAAGTGGAGCTGCGGAACAATTAAAAATATTTTCCTTAGCCCCTCTCTTACAACAGGTCCTGGGAAGGGGGAGGAGGTGCAAGTGGGGCCACAGGCAACACAAGTGGGCAGCAGCTTGTCTAGGACTTCCCCGGGGGGATCACACTGCCCATCCTTCCATGGCCTTCTGAGTCAGACCAGGCTTTCTGGGCAACAGATGCTCAGGCTGGGATGGGGAGGACAGGGCAAAGGGAAGGGGTGGCTCTAGAAGCTGGGCATACCCTCAGGTGGAGCCCTACACAAGGGCTAGGGGTGTTGAGAGTGCTAAGAACTCTTCTAGAAAGGCCCAACAATCAGATTACCTACCCCATCCCCAAGTGTCTCTATGCCCCACCCACACCCCAAGCAACTTCCTTCTTGAATCTGCGAGTCCTGTGTCTTGAGTCTCATGTTCACCCACACTCCTGGTGCTAATCATCACAGCCCGCTTGGTGTGAGCTGGTGTGAGAGGTATTTGCGTATGTGTCTCTCTCCCTCTACCAGCCCAGGAACTCTCCTGGTGAGCTTGGATCTCTCTCTGGTCCTGCAGCTGTGTTGGATAGGAGGTCTGGGCCTGTCATGACTCTGGTCTTGCTATCCCAGAACTGTTTGCCTTCCATGATCCTCGAGCTGGACCAAGATACCATAGAATAGGCAAGGACGATGAGCAGAGAGGATGGGTTTAACACAGTACCTAAAACAGAGTTCTCGGGCAGAGGGATGCTTGTTAAGAAGCATCTCCCTTAGCCGGGCCTTGGAGATACAGAGAAAGATGGAGAGTCTGCCCCTAAGAGATTTCATGTACGGCGAGGAAATAGAAAGCAGACAATACAAGACCTGGGAAAATCCTGTCCCTGTGAAAAAACCATGCCACACTTCATCAGTGCATTCGTCATCGCAGGTGGAAAGACATCGGTGTATGTTATGTACACTAATCATAGGAACCACACAAAAGGAAGACCATGTGCCCTGGACCACAGAAATCCTGGCTAGTTCATCCACTACTATGAGCCAGAGCCCAGCACTCAGTTTAGTGGATGCCGAGTTCACATGTATGCAGGAGTGAAAGACCAGATCATGTGGGCAGGCAGGAAAATAGGTGGAGGAAATTTCGAAGGTTTCCTGAAATACGATGCGTTGTAACTAAGGGAAGGCTTCAGATGAGGGCAGGAAACTAGAGGTCATTCAGGTCTGTCCTCACCCCCACCCCAGCCCAGCTGAGGCATTGTCTTCAAGGAGTGCAGGGAAGGAGTTGGGCGCAAAGGTTTAGCAGAGGGCAAAGTGCACACCGGTCATGAGAACTTGTGCACAATATTTAGGAAACTCATAGGTGGGACTAGCGCTTTTCATTCCTGATAGGGGATGATAAGCCCTAAGGAACAAATTAAGGACATCAGTGTTCTCTACAACATGTCAGAATTTGGCCAAGGCCCAGAGAATGTCCAAAGGATGACACCAGTCAAGGGGCGTTCTCTCTGGGCACAGATGAGGTCCTTGTGTTTACGCCCAAATTCAGCCATTGGTCCCAGCTCAAGGTACGGTTCAAACCCAACCATCGGTTCCAAATCTTTGGGTAAGCATGACCACACCCTTCCTCCTGTATCTTCCAGGCCACATGTAATGAGACCACAAAGGATCACTTCTAAAGTTAGCCTTACTCTGAAGCCATTTTCTAATCTGCACCAAACACACGTAATCTGATCACACAGGCATCCTGGTTTTCCCAAGAATGGCAATCTGAATTTCTGAGGATACTTGTTCTCTGATATACCAGATTTTCCTACTTCTGGCTTGTTGTCTAACCCAAATGACTTCTTCCTGCATGTAAATTCCTCTTCTTCTCTTTAGCAAACAAGAAAAAAATAAACTGGTCACTATCCTGGCTGGAAAACATAATTTCTGTTTTGGTCCACCCCCTCAATGTACATGCCATGGCAGGAAATCTTCCTTGGGTCAGTTTGGCTCCTGGGCTCTGGTATGGAAGCCTGCAGGTTGGTGCCTCCAAAATCCATCTTTAGAACTGCTATGAAACGTCTCATTCCACTTGTTGCCCTCTACACCTGCACTTCTTGTCACCAATGCCTGCCCACTGCCCCCGGGACCTCATCTGCTTCCTGTCTTGGTGAGCTTACTCCCTCCTGTGTTCCTGTGGTTCCGCTGCCTCCCTTCCCCCTCTCTTTATCCCTCCTAGCTCCTCTGTGCCTCTTCTCCAGGGATTCCCTATTCCCCAAATCCCAAATCCTTTCCCTCCCTTCAACAAACAGCTTCCACAGGATTCTGCTTGCTTCTAGAAGAGAAGGTTGTCCAGACGAGGGGCATCTAAACCTAGTGCTCCACACTCCCTCCCCATGTGAAGTGTCTTGTACCAGCTGGGGAGATGGAAGCCACTTCTTATGCCTGTGTCCCGTACTGGTTCAGGGATGACCCTTCTGTCCCTGCCAGGGTCCTTTAAAGGGTCTTGTCACGGCCACGGGGCAGTTCCCTCCTTTTATTCTATTTTTCGTGTTGACTGTAAATTGGGTGAACGTTTGCTAAGCACATAGTCCGTGTCAACAGTTCGTACATGTGAGGTGTCAGCTCGTCCACCACCCCTCACAACACCATCACCCTCACCACTTCCTCCCTGGGGTTCCTGTCTCTGGCCACCTTCTTGCCTCACCATCTTTGCTATTCAAGAACTCTGTCCCTTGGACAAATGTTGCCCCCTTTCTCTCCAATGGCTGATTATTCTAAAGCAGGGTGTGAGTTCAGTTCCAGACCTATCTTGGGGGTCCTGCTGTGCGGTGGTACCTGTAAATAATCACCTTACCATCCTAGAACTTTCCCGAAGCTCCCTAAGGCAACCTCTCCCTCTCTCTGGCTCTTTTTTGGATTTCTTTCACAGCCCCTGAATTTCCCACCATCCTCTACTGCTGTGGGAGTGTTCTGCTACCGTGGCAACCGCCAATGCGGCATCCGTCGATAAAGCCGGTATGTTCCGAACGTTGGTGCTGCTTCGACTGATTCCTAAAAAGAAAAGGACCTGCGCAGTAGCACCCCCTTCAAACCCAGCCCTGGGCCCCTCCCACTTTACCCCACCCTGCTCCACCCTGCCACTCTGAGCCAGACAGTGCTGTGAACCTCCCACTAGGGAGAGAACGGGCCTTCAAGGAGGGTCTGCGGAGGGCCTGCATGAGGGGGGAGCAGCCTGGCTGGGCAGCCAGTGGGGTGTCAGTGAGCTGTCTAAGGGGTTGGTCAGGCTCCTGCCCTTTAGAGAGAGAGGAGGAGGGAGAAGAGGCTGGTTTGGAATCATGAAAGTCTCCAATGCCCAGCTCCCCAGAGACTGCCCAGCCTCTCCTCTCTCCCAAGGCATTAGCAGTGTCTAGGATAGGTATGGGGTGAGTGATTTAACCATGTCCCTTAGCCAAGATCTTAAAACTATCTGAGGAATGAAGAAGCTACTTGCGTACAGCCAAGGAAAGGCATGCCTGTGTGATACTCATGCCCCAGTGATCAGGGAGCCTGGGGGCCCTGCCTATTTCGATTGGATTAGGAGAGTTGGGGTGGCACTGGAAGAGAGGAGAGGATGGCAAGAAGGACTGGGCTGCACATACTCTGCTGACCTTGAAAGATGACCTTGAGACAAGTGGGGAGCTGAGTCCATGCTTGGCTCCCTCCCTCCAGGGCGAAGGGCAGAGCTAGGAAGAGAGAGGGGTG